TTATGAGGTAGAAAGAATCAGAATGAACCATTAATTCCTTATACCATGCTCAGATTTTTTATGAATCAAATTAGTTCAACTTAGCAAACTGGTGAAAACGGAGTTTTATACTAGTTTACAACCGAAGAATTTTTACTTCAAAGTCATTGTATTAGAATCAAAGTTGATTGAACTCATACTGCAGTCTCTCTCCGGACTCCATCTAAATTTATTCTTTTAACTTGAACAGTGGCCATTTGTCTTTTATAACTCCTGATTTTTTCTATTCATGATATGTTAGGTGCTTGTGGGCATCACGAAAAAAAGTCACGTCAGACTAATATCATGAAATAATAAAATCAACTTCATCTGCATAGTTGCCTCAGCTGAAACACGAACTTAGGATAATATCTTTTATCATTCTATTTTCCTTTGCCGCATAGTTGCCTCAACTGCATCATGATAGACAATATTTCTATAAGGCTGCAAAAGAAAATTCTTGACCCTATGAGAACTCTAATTCTTTGAATCTACGGTATACATATATCAACATCTAAGGCACCTCAAAAGACTGAATATTTGCCTAAATTCTAATCTGTGCACAATGTATTACTTAAAACGATAACACATACTTTTCCAACAACCAACGTGTAAATGCTTTTGGTTGCTTGATTGCTTGTGCGTCTATCGGTTGTATTTTTCATACTTCTTTTTGCACAATTTTATTTTATTATAATTTTTTTTATAAAAGACAATTTCATTGATGATTACCATTTACAAAAGGGATGATATATCTATGATGATTACAAAAGACCTTTCCAATTCACAACTCACAACGAGGGAGGTATAACTGTAGGAAGTAAAAATATTAGACAGTACCAATATATAGCTTGGTAACTAACAACATTACACAATTTTTGTATATTGCAAAAAAGGATCTAGTAGCTCGGGATGAAGGCACAACATGTGTCTGTGTCTACAGTGACAACCTTTTAACTAGAGAAAAAGGTCCATGGAGATTCAGACAAGATCAAAACATCGCAAAGGTAAGCTCACAAGCTTACAGGTATAAACTAGGGCCTCCAACCCAATAAAAAGGACCGACAAGAACTATGAGTTCAATCAAATAGAACCCAGTCAGAGTGGTGCACAACATCTGAGTATTGGTAGTTGTTGCCCCCTGACGTGATAGTGCAATAGAAAATATCACTTTGGATATTCTTGATGAGTGATTGGGAGGGAAGGGAAGGTAAGCCATGAAGACATTGAACTCCTTTCAAATGTGGTATCTTGAAGCATTTCATGTCAGCTACCACACTCAATGTCTTGGATTATTACTGAGCCTTCGAGCATATCCATGAAAATGTTGGCTTCCATGATAAAGCTTTATGGGATGAGTGCACCCTGCTTAGACACAGTCAACAAAAAGATCGTACCTCGCCTTGACTTCAGCCTTGCACAATAAACAAAGGGAAGACATGGATATGCAAACACTTGTACAAGGTCAAGAGTCTCTCATGAATGGCCAACTAGCAGGTGAAGCCTGTACCAAGGCATCACTCAACGTAGAGTATCCCGTGCATTCGTGATAAGGAATTCACGTGAGTTCAAATAATCTTTCCCTCCAAGCTGTATAGAATATAGCATATCTCAAACATGAGGGAAGTGGATAGACTGTATGAACTTAGCTACTTTGGCTGTTGGGAAGTTGACAATATCATAGATAATCTTATCACAGTAGATCATATGTAAGTTCGCTCACAGTAGCAAAGAATCATGCTTAAACAAAACATTGCCCGACACTATTTGTAATGTACTTGATGTGGGGCCTGAACTATTTTGTAATGCTCTTCAAGATTTTTCTCCAGTGTCACGAGAGTCAAGCACCCAAGCCACCCGTAGGAGGAGTTTCATAATTGCTGCTTGGTTCCACAAAGCACTCTATTTGACATCTAGGCTGCCTTCTACAAAAGGAAAACAATTGTCTTCCCAAAAAGGTTTTGTACGTGCAAGGATTTTGTCCTCCCTTCCCATAAAAAGTTCCTAAGGAAACAATTCAATCATGTTGGTCACCTTAGTTGGCAGGATAAATGCATTGTACCAATACACATGGAAGCACATGAGCACTGAGCTGATTAGTTGGAGCATTAAAACAAAAGGAAGAGTGGGAAGCCCAAGTCCGTTTTGGGGTAATATGCGCTGGATTAAGGGGTTACAGTCCCTGGAAGACAATTTTAGATTAGGTGTAGGCCTAGGTTGATAGGAAGAGAGACCGGCTGTTAATTAACAGTTGATATCTGATCATCCACAGTATGTTGGTCTATCTTTCAGGGAAGAAAAAACTCTTGGATTGGTTAGTTGCTAACCCTGATAAGTTCTCAAAATGGTCCAAAGTAGATTTTATGAAGAAAAGTGATGAGGATCAGTAGCATAAAGAGATCATCAAGTCATCAATGAATTAAAGGTTGTTTGCTGGATCTTATCACACTTGGGATGAAATTTGGAACTACCTACATTAAATAGAATCCAAGACAGTATCACCATAATCCATGACAAAAGGATATGGGAAGATAGGGGCACCCTACCCCAGGCCCTTCCTACCTGGAAAAAAACCTATCTCCCACCATTAATCACGAAGGAGAACATTGAGGAGGTGATGCAGCATTTGATCTAGTTACGAAACCTCAGAGTTACTACCTAACTGCCAATGATAATATCCAAATGGATTGAGTCAGACGCCTTTTGAAGATTAACTTTTAATTGTACTCGTACAGCAAAAGGGCCGTCGTGCAAGTAATAACCACTCAAAATCTTATGACAGGGATGGAAACCAACAATGTTGCACCCTGTGACAAATGTCAGACTGGTTGGGGCTGATGAAGTGGGGAAGAACATTCCTTACACCTTTCACTGAAGATTGATTGATTCAATAACTAAACTTTTATTACCTTAATGATTCTAAATTGAATCACAACTACTAGTGATTGCTGATATGTTTATAATCATCAGGTGATTGATTGAAGAATTTTAACAAAGAGACATGATTATGTTTTTTAGTTTGAAGTTACCGTTTGGTTTATATTGTATTTTCTTGGATGACTTGCAGGTGGCCAAAGAAAATGCCGATGTTATCATAATGGATGACAATTTTTCAACCATTGTAAATGTTGCACGATGGGGACGTGCGGTGTATATTAACATACAAAAGTTTGTGCAGTTTCAGCTAACAGTTAACATTGTTGCTCTAGTGATCAATTTTGTTTCTGCTTGCCTCTCAGGTGAATTCATCAACGAAGTTGGTTTTTTATGCCAGACCAGTTGAAAAGGACTAAATTGTTGTTTCTTTCTACCCGACTTTCAGGATCTGCTCCTCTTACGGCTGTTCAGTTGCTTTGGGTGAACTTGATTATGGACACTCTTGGTGCCTTGGCCCTGGCCACAGAGCCTCCAAATGATGCACTCATGCAGAGACCTCCAATTCCCAAGGGGGTTAGCTTTATTACCAAAGCCATGTGGAGGAACATTGTTGGTCAGAGTATCTATCAACTTGCTGTTCTTGCAGTTCTTAATTTTAGGGGAAAGCAACTTCTTGGACTTAGTGGAGCCGATTCCACGAAAGAACTTAATACTTTGATATTTAACTCATTTGTGTTCTGCCAGGTATGAGTATGCCCAACACTGTCCATCGAAATTGTATTTAGCTCAACAATTCTCTTTTATTTTGGTACACTAATTTTACATCTTTGGATTGTTGCTGTTCACAGGTTTTCAACGAAATCAACAGCCGTGAGATAGAAAAGATCAACATATTCCGAGGGATGTTCAGCAGCTGGATATTTTTGGGAGTAATGGCATCCACAGTTGGGTTTCAAATAATCATTGTTGAACTTCTGGGTGCTTTTGCAAGCACTGTACCACTGAGCTGGGAACTGTGGGGACTGAGCGTTTTGATTGGATTTGTAAGCATGCCAGTCTCAGTTGTGTTGAAGTTCATCCCTGTTCGCAAGGAAACAGTCCATCATGATGGCTACGAACCACTCCCTTCTGGCCCAGAGCTGGCTTGAAATTCACACCTCTAAAACTACCAAGCAAGGGAATTTATATGTATTTGTTTTGGGGATGATAAAAGAATGGACTTCGTTTCAGCTGTGAGGTGCGTTCACAATTTTTTGTATCGTTCACAAAAGATCGGATTTTTTTTTTTTTTTCCGGTAAAAAATCAGTGGTCTTGTTAATTATTACAATTTCTCTCTTTCAGACTGCTGCATCTGAAGAAAGATTTAAGGAATTTCTTTCCCTTCTCTTTGTACTTTGTTTTTTCGTAGGTAGACCAACACGATTGCTGAAACGTCCCAAGCTTAGGATTTAGAATCAAGCTTCAAAATTTAGATTTAGCAATACGATCCCAATATGCTTTGACATAGCTTAGTCATATTACTTGTCTCGTTTAGAGTGAAAATGGTTCCCACGATCAATACAAGTTTTTATAACATGTTTTGTCTTTATTTGCATGTTTCTTCAAAAAAAAATACAAAAAAATCATCGAACATAAAATTACTCCAAATAAAAAATGTTCACGTTATTGGTATAGATAATAATTATGAATTCTTTTAAGTGATTTTGATTTATTAATGTATCCCTCTTCAATTTGGGTATATCACATGGCTATTAGTATTCGCCTATGTACCTAGACCCATGACTCAATAAGATTCAGAATTCAAATTCGATACATAGTATTAACATTCACGTGCATTCCCAATGACTTGCTCATGTCACTTGTTTTGAATAGCTTTGCGAGATTAGAGACGGCCCTTACATACTCACACAAATCCATCTTTAAACATGTTTGGTTCTCATTCAACAAGACCACCCAACATACTACTAAGCCAAACATATTTAAAAACATGTTAATAAGAACATTCCTTATAAAAATTCAAAAGCCACCAAATGGGATGATTTCCCTTTGACAGGAATTTAAGACATTAGAATTTAGATTAAAAAGAGAAGAGTAAACAACCCTCTACAGAGATCAATCAAAACTGAGCTATATATTCTTCTTGGCGAGATGATAAAAACTCAGCTGAATTGATAATGAACAAGGGGCAATATCTTCTAAAAAAAGGTAACATGGAACGTGGAATGTGGAACATAAACGAATCCAACAGAAAGAAATTATTACTCAACCGTCTTTCCTATGATTCTAATAAACAATCTCCAACTCTTAACCATATTTCTCTGATCGTCACAAAATAACAATGTGTCATCTTCATGATGATGATTCCATACCTTGGCTTCATTCGATCATCTATACCTCCGCTTGGTTTCTCCATATGCAATGACTCCAAGTACGGTAATCGTGTAACCACCAATTCCGATGACTGTGACGGGGTTTCTAAACAGAAGAATGGAGATAACAACAGCCACTGCTCCTTTTGCATTGCCCAAAACCTGATAAGAATGAACAGAAGCAAAACTTCACAGAGATTTCTCAACAGATTGCAGCAGTTAGAAACAAACAAATCTTGACAAGCAGTGCATAAACAATGTTTAAAACAAGATCCCTATATTGGAGGAAGCATTCTGTCTCAATATCAGTTACGGCAAATCCAAATAATTGTGTAAACCTGAGGCCCCACATTGAGCAACAATCCACTAACTCTGGCCTGGCCTAGCTCTTTGTGAGATCCCACGTCGGTTGGGGAGGAGAATGAAACATTCTTCATAAGAATGTGGAAACCTATTCCTAACATACGCGTTTTAAAAACCTTGAGGGGAAGTCCGAAAGGGAGAGCCCAAATAGGACAATATCTGCTTGCGGAGAAATATCATCTTTAACGATGCCCCAACTCTCAACTAGCATTGTCCCCGTCCTTCCATAAAACCACCTCCCTAATCTTCATGATAAAAGTTGTTTCTAACTTTCCTTTTTGATCGAAGTAAAAAAGAACATAGAACTTGAAAAAGTGGTACGATCAATCAAATCCAATAAATCTCTACACGGAATTCTGTAAGGACTAACATGAAAACTAAGTAATATGGGTTTATGGCAGTAATATACTAGAAACCTTTAACAAAAGAAGAGGATCAAGAAGATATCTTACTTGGAGTGTCAGTGCGCTGGTATGTTTAGTAACCAAGAAATTCAACAGGTTTGCTGAATAAGCCATAACTGAATTCAATAAAAGAAGAAGCCACATGAATCTATGGTCCCTTCCAAGTGCTATGGTAACATCCCAAACATTTGGTTCCATAATAAGTGCTACAGGCAACAAGGCTAGAACAGCAATCGGGGACATATATAGCAGCAAATTCATCGAGTTCAACTTTTCCCTGCCAACAATCAACAGACAGCAAGCATATGGTTTTGACACTGAAAAAGTAAAGTAACAGCTAGATGAACTGATGAAGTTCCTAAGAAACACGTAAACTACTTAAGGTAACATGATCGTCTACTATATCAGCTATCGCAACAGTGTTTCACATTTTCCAGTTCTTATTACTTATGAGTCAATTCCGTGCAAGCTTGAATCGTCCACATTAACACATCCCTCAAGAAAAATGTAACATCAATGTAATTTAATCATGAAACGTGGGAGAGTGATTCTTCAAAGAATCGTTAGATGGTATTTCTATGAAATTGAGGCAATAACTCGACAGTAGAAAATTTATTGAGAGGACAAAAGAAAGGCAATTTATGACAATTACAATTACCCTTCAGAAGATAATAGGATACCCTGAAGAACAGACTTGAATGCCCTTGCAGCAGTTGCACTTATGCACATAATAAATCCAAACAAATGAAAATCCGGTTCGCCCTGCCATCACCCTTAGAACGTCTTACAATTCCATAGAGAAAATAGAACAAAAATACATGATTATAGTATAAACACATTAAAAGAATCAATTTACATGTATGAACAAAGTTCTAAATGTAATGCTCTCAAATATGAACTACTACAGTCGAATAGGCAAAGGATTTGCCTCAGCAATCTGCTAATTTGAAAGCCAATCCTCTATTCTTGTCTCTAAATCCCATAAACTATCGCCCCTCAAACCGAAACAGGCTACATTTGTTTTACCATTGCGCTCGACACTATCACAGACTAGTAAACACTTGAGCCTGCCCTGATAAACGTGAACTTTGAGTTTTTGATCTGTTCATAATCAATAATTCATAAATGGCCTATTTGAATGTGGAAGACGATATCATATCTTGAACCAATCAATGAGTACTCATGGAATTTAAGATTTGGTTATAACCAAAATATATGAAGCTCTGCATCTAACATTCTTCCAGATCTGGCCTGCATTTACGCCACACGCCTAATGGTAAAGTTCTGCTGAATTCAAAGCTAATCCTAAGGAATCTTAATCTTTTTCTTGCGTTTATGCAATGAATAAAAGCAAAAGAGAATTAAAAAGTGATCGAAAATTAACTCAAACATACCCCACTGGCGATGACAACCCCCGCAACAACAGGGATAAGAGCAGCATAAGTGACCCAAGCCTCCCTCTTAAGCGTCATCAAATAGGCGAAGAGAGCAGTGAAGAACGGCGTTGTCGCACCGACCGCCTGATTGAAGGATACGGCAAGGTACCGAAGGGAAACATTACCACCGACGACGGAGCCACAAAAAACAAGGCTTAGCGTCGAGATTTTAAAGAATTGGGATCTGGATTTGAGCATCTGGAGCGGCACAACCTTGAAAACAACAATGGAGAAGTAGCTGAGAATCGCGCAGGCGGACATATGGCACATTGTGAGGAAGATTGGGAATCTGAAGCCATAATTGGATAGCAAAAATTTGTTCAGAAGAAGAACGCCAATGTTGGATGAATACCAAAAGATCACAAGAGACAACACGAATAGGGTTTGCTTATTGGTAGCCATCGTTTATCAATTTCTAATCTGATTCTCGATTTGTCGTTCAAAGGGTTTGTGGATTTGCAGGAGAAGCTCTCATCTGGGCTGCAATGGAATCGAATGCATTTCCCTTGTGGATCTCTCGGGGAGGAATTCAAAAGAAATGAAATCTCTAATCTCTACAGAATCGTTGCGAGCGAGAATTCGGGAAGTTTGCAGGCGATGGAGAGAAACAGAAAACAGAGAAAATTTTGTGTTCTTCGTCTATCCGACATGTGTCAAATTAGAATAAATAATGCAAAGAAATTCATCGTTCGATCCATGAACATGAAATCAAATGAAGTGTTTATATTATAATCAGCAAATGTGCTTAATTTTATCGTACCAATATCAATTCTTGTTTGTTCTTCCCATTAATTTCAAAATATTTATTGATCTGCCAAGAAAAGTAGCTCCATATTTCTGTCGGTGGAGAACAAGGCTTATATATATATATATATATGTATATTTTAATAATTTTATTTAAGTTAAACATCTAATCTAATCTTTTAGTTAAATTATATTTATTTTAATATAATTATATAATACCATAAATATACTTTTGTTTTTTTTTCAAAATTTTCTGCCATGTCAGAACTGTAAGATTTTATATATATATATATATTTTTTTTAATTTCAAAAGTTTTAGTATTATCTTATATTATATTATATATACAAAATTAATTTTTTTCCTTTTATTTCAAAAACAACAAAAATGCCACCAAATATTATACTTTTAAAACTTATTGCATTCGTTTATTATGTCAACTCAGCCGACACGTCATCAAGTCGGTCATCTGCTCAATTTTGTTTCAATTACTTTTTCTTTATTTTAATTCTAATTTGAGGGATTAAAAAAAAGATTGAATCATTATTTCCAAATTTATATTAAGACGTTTTATCACACTAAATTAATAGTAACTAGCAGTACAGTTGTTATTGATTAATTAAAATAAATAATTATTACATTCAATATTAATTTTTTTTTTTTTTTTTTTTTTT